CTTGTGACAACCAAGCCTAGGGGGTGTGATAAATTACATACTTTGTTATATAATTAGTAGGCTTGGTAGGTTTATCGAACTCTACTGTAGTGGGTACAACTCCCTCCTTGTCTCTTCCTGGTCTTTCTCCCTTGTCTCTCCTCAACTTTCATAGCCTAAAACCTCACGCCATTCCATGGCTTCCCTCCTACCTAGCTTAGTTTAACATATCTAGTCTATTATAACATATACAAATATGTTTGACACTTATGTCATACCTATCCAAATTCCTTGTCTTATAAACACAGTACCCATTTATAAGAAAACACCCAGATAATAGACCCTAGGATCTTCTATTCGTCAACTTATACATATGATACTATGTAGAAGTTATAGGCTAGATACAGTAGGTGTATGCTCTTAGTGGGTACAACCCCAACCCTATATCTCTCTTGTTCACCCCTGTTTCAATTCATTCTAGTATTCTAACACTATTCGCCCAGGTCTTCTATCCGGGCTTTTACCAGTATGCTTGTCAGTACATCCACGAAATTTGAATGTCCAGGCTCGGCCCGCCAACTCAGGTCCCGAACTACGTTTGAGAACCCCAAGCCTGCACGTGGAGTCATGCCCGACCCTTTCCAGTCCAGAGGTATCAGAATTGAAGAATGGTTAGAATAGGAGAGTACAAGGTAATATAGGCTAGGGAGTTGTACCCTCTAAGGCACAAACCTGCGTAGTTTACAGTAACATACGAAGATAAGTTTGACACACCCCCTAGACTATATAGGGGCAGTGCCTAACATGAGAACAAGCAGCTCAGGGCGGCACTACTAGTCCAGCCTCTAAGGCAAGGGTCTAAAGACAAGTCAATAGGAGTATAGACAAAACAGGAGCAAGGCCAGGGCAGCACTACTAGTCCAACCACTGGGAGAAGCCACAAAGCCAGTCTGGGTAATACATATATATATAAGGTCTGTACACAGTCAAGGTCCTAGCAAGTGCGACGCAACAGGAACAAGACCAAACTGTAAACAGTGCCGCTGATGATCTTTAGGCGCAAGCGCCTTGGTAAAGATATCAGCTGTGTTGGCACCGGAGGCCAAGTGTACTACACGAGCCTGGTGACGCTGCTGCAGCTCGCGCAGGAGGAAGTAACGCAGCTGGATGTGCTTTGCTCTGCCCTCAAGTCCAGGCTCCTGACATAGGAAGATCATGGCCCTGTTGCCAGCATACAGAACCGGGGCAGAGCTAGGCCTCTCACATAATTCAGTGAGCAAGAAGGTCAGCAAGCGGAGCTCCAGTGCCGCCATGGCACCAGCGTAGATCTCGGCCTCACAGCTGGACTGGGCAACAGACGATGAGCGAGTAGCTCGCCACGAGACAGCACCTGAACCAAGACTGAAGCAGTAGCCCTGTAAAGACGTAAGGGTCCCGGCGTCGTCTGCCCAAGAATCGTCTGTGTAACCAGAAAGGACCACTGGCCTGCGTCCTCGCAGCACTAACCCCAAGCCTAATGTACTCGCGAGATAACGCAGAACTCTCTTAGCTGCAGACCAGTGCTGAGGTCTGTGTCTGCCTGTGGCCACAAAGTGAGCCAGGATGCTGAGAGGGTATGCGAGATCTGGACGAGTGCAAATCATCAGGTACATGAGGCAACCCACCAGCTCTGCATAAGGACCACTGGGCTCAGTTGACTCCTCAAGGACTGGAGCAAAGAGCCTTTGATCTACTGGAAGAGGTGTGGGCTGTGTGGAGGAGAACTGAAGACCGAACCTCTGAAGGACCTGACGCACCAAGTGTGACTGTGTGAGAGTAATGGTGCACGTTGCTTTGTCTCTGGAGTTCTGCAGGCCTAGGTAGTGGCGCAGCTCTCCTAGGTCAGTGCAGATGTGTCTCCTCAGCAGCTCAGCCTTCATAATGGCCAGCGCGGTGGTGTCTGTAGTGGCAAAGGCCATATCGTCAACATAAACAAGGATGTAGAAGGGAGTCTGGTCAGAACGAACGAAGAGCGAGGGTTCTGCTGAGGACGAAAAGAACTACAGGTCTGCAAGGGTAGCATGCAGCGTGTCGTGCCACTCGCGGGGCGACTGGCGCAAGCCGTAGACTGGGCGCTACAGGAGCCACTGAGTCCCAGGAGGGAAGGTACCAGTGAAACCCTGAGGTCGGCGCAGGTAGACCTGCTCGTGTAGACTGCTCTGAAGAAGCGCGGTGGAGAAGTCGAGGGAGTGTAACTAGTAGTTACGCTGTGCTGCTACGTGTAGCAATGCCTGAAGAGTAGTCATCTTCGGGGTCGGGGCGAACGTCTGGAAGAAGTCCACCCCCTCGCGCTGACTAAAGCCTCTAGCCACGTAGCGCGCCTCGAACACAGGCGGCTCTCCATGAGGGCGCTTCGCCTTGAAGAGCCAGCGGCCATCGACTACGTTCACCCCAGGTGGGGGAACTACGTCGATGTAGGTGCCAGTGGATCTCCAAGATGCCATCTCCTGCTCCATGGCAGCTATCCACTGAGAGGCCCAAGGTCGTGAGGTCGCCTCAGCGTAAGTGCGAGGGGTCGGGATGTCGAAAGCGTCTGGGTCACCCTCAGGGACTAGTAGCATGGAACAGAGATGGGGATAGAGTCCAAGGTGAAGGAGAGAGCCGCAGTGGCGTCCTGAGTCGGAGCTGCGACGGAAGAACCAAGGCTAAACAAAGCAGGGGATCCTACGCCTGACGCAGCAGGGGAGGCACGACTAGACACGCCTACACTAGGTAACAAGGGGTAGTAAGACACAGTAACACTAGAGTCATCAGCATACATCACATGCAAGGCAGCAACAATCTCATCCACGTCCATATCAAAGATCTGAATGCTACGGCGAAGCAAGCTGTGTTGGTCGGGGAGGTCAGGCGACGGGCCGAAGCGCTGACGAAACAGGTTGTCTTGGCGACGGAAACAGCGGAAGGAGGTGTGACCGAGCTTACCGTGAACGAAGCCACGGCGAGGAACGGTCAGAGCAGGTACTGACAGCGTCCGTCACCCAAACTGCCATCCGACAACCCACCACGCGCACGACCACCACGTCCAGCGCCACCACCAGCGCCAGGCCACCCGGGCGGGAGACCACCCGCCCGCCTCTGCTGCTGCGGCTGGTGCGGGGACTGCTGCTGCGGCTCGTGCGTGTCCGACTGCGACACCTGCGGCTGCTGAGACGACTGCTTGGCTGCACCTGTCAGGGTCCCCTCGTCAGCGCTACCACTTGGCGACCCGACTCCACCACCACCTCCACCTGCACCGCCACCCCCACCGCCGCGCCCAGCCTTGGGGCGGCGGCCCTTCCCGGAACGGATCTGCGCTGCAGCTGCAGACTCAGCCACACCAGCAGAACTGTTGGAGAAGGTGCACTGAGCGGGGGCACAACCCTGAAAGATAGGGACCGGAACAGTACCGCTGGTCTGGGCAATAGAGCGCTGGTGGGTCTCTATGGCTGACAGGGTGTCGACAAAGTCAGTGAGGGTGAGGTCACCGGGGTGGATGCTAAGGAAGCGATCACGGACGGTAGCAAGACGGCCAGGGAGGCAGGTGACAAGCAGGTAGCGGGTAGAGCAGAGGGGCGGCTGAAAGGCTCTAAGCTGGGTGTCAGTGTAGGCAGTGCGCCAGGTCGCGTCTATCGTGCGGAGGTGAGCAGCGAGGTCAGCGACAGTAGGGAAAGACGCAAGGTCAGGGAAGAGCATCGGCAGGATCAGGCGACCTACAGAGGCAGCAGGCGGGGCACGGAGCGGAGCACGCAGTCCGCCATCAGGAGCGATGCAGCAGCGGTGCAGTGTTGAGCAGTGCGGTGCAGAGCGGTGCTGTACGGTGCAGTGCGGTGCAGAGCGGTGCAGTGCGGGTCAAAGCGGTGCAGTGCGGTGCTGTGCGGTGCACGGCGACAAACTGGGCACTGAGGGCCAGCGGCGGGCCGGCTGACGTGGAGCGGGCGCGGGGCCGGTCGGGAACGGGCATGGGGCCGAAGAGGGGCTGGCACGGGGGCCGATTAGGAACGGGCACGAGGGCCGGCTGGGAACAGGCGCAGGAGCCAGCTAGGACCGGGTCAAGGGGCCGGCTAGGAACGGGCGCGGGGCCGACTAGGGCGGGCGCAAGGGCTGGCTAGGAACAGGCGCGGAGGCCAGCAAGGAGCGGGCGTGAGGGCCAGGCGGAACGGGCGCCAGGGCGGCTAGGAACGGGCGCACAGGGCCAGCTAGGAACGGGCGCAGGGGCTGGCTAGAAATGGGCGCGGAGCCGACTAAGGTCGGGCCGGGGCCGTCGAAGGGGTGGGCGCGGGGCCGGCTAGGAAAGGGCGCGGGGGGCAAGTTAGGAGCGGGCGCGGGACCGACTAGGGGCGGGCGCGTGGGCCGACTAGGAGCGGACGGCTAGGGGGAACGGGCGGCTAGGACCTAGGGGCGGAAGCGCGGGTGGGGCGGTGGGACCTAACCTACTTGTGATACCATATAAGAATTGAAGAATGGTTAGAATAGGAGAGTACAAGGTAATAGAAGCTAGAGAGTTGTACCCTCTTAGGCACAATTATGTATAGTCTACAGTAACATACTAAGATAAGTTTGACAAGAGGCGCCTGAACCACCTCACAGGGGCTTCGTGGCCCATCCTCTTGCTGTGCTAGTTATCCGAACGTGGTCACTTATCACTGAGGTAAAATGGATTGTTAAGTAGCGGGTCAGTGCACCCATAACCCCCTAGGCATAGATGCCTGTGGCACTTCTCCGAGGATCTTCTCAAGGGCAACCCCCGTGGGTCTCTCAACACTAGCTGCACTCGTGTTTAGCTCTGTGCTTTAGTTGTACTCGACACATTACTCGACTCTCGTTTTGAGATTAATATAACAGTAAAGGTCTGCTTTACATTGTGTACTATTGTTTTTATGCGAGGTAGACATTATTCGGGATCTTTTTCTCTCCATATCCTGGACCGTTCCACAGAGACTGCTCTAAAACCCTGAGTGAACCCCAAGGGTACGCTCAGGTTTCGCCACGCCCATCTCGATCGCCAGCACGCTCCAGCACCCCAAGGATTCCAATACAGAACCTTCCCTTCCCACACGCTCCATGCGGCAGACCCGTCTGCAAGCTTCGCGTGTTGCGCAGTGCATAGCTGCCTGACCATTCCAGCTTCACTCTAGTTCGTCTCGTCTCTGGATCGCCAGTGGGGAGAGGCGATGGCCGTACGAGGCATGGAGTTGACGTTGGTGAACGGCACGGTGCTGAGGATGCATCTCGAGGAGACGGCGGGAGGGGTGAGGGAGCGAGTGGCGGAGTTGGAGGCGAGGCTGAGGGAGCAAGGCGAGGCCATGGCGGCTGTCAAGCACGAGCTGGCCGAAATGCGCCGCGTCATGGCGCACTTGACGGGCACGGAGGCGGCGGGCGCTGGGGAGAATGGGCGAGCGGGGCACGGCGGATCAGGCGTAGGGGGTGCCTCAAGGGAGGTAAGCCTAGGGCAGGGCTCTGGAGCGGATTAGAACCGATGGCTCTATGGCCGCGGAGAGAATTGTAACGGAGCGGGTGAAGGGCGTTCGAGACGAGCTCCTGTCGCGAATGGGGGTTTTGAAGGGGCAGGTTTTGCAGGCGGCGCAGAGGGAGGCGAGGCACGCGGTGAGCGAGCTGAAGGCGGAAACGAAGACCGAAATGAAGACCGAAATGGCAGACATGATCGGGGCGGAGATGCGAGAGGTTAAGGAGGACGTGGAACACTTGCAGGAGGACATGGAGGAGTTGGAGGAGAAACGGGGAGCGTTGGCGGAGAGGATCGGCAGATTGGAGGCTGCTGTGGAAGGGGGCATCGACGCTGGCGAGAAGGCGGCACGGAGGCAGGCGGAATCTGTGAGGGCTGCTACGACGGAGGCAGAAAAGAGGTTGGTGGCAGTGATAGGGAAGGTGACGGTGTCGGTGGCGCGCTGTAACGCGGCCATTCAGCAGTGGCGGAATGAGAGGCGGAGCGAGCGAAACGGGGGTGGGAGAGCCGAGGGCGAGCAGTGTGCAGGGTCAGAGCAGAGCGAGAAGAGGAAGCGGAGGAGGAAGGAGGCAGGGGACGCGGGTGATGTGACGTCGGATGTGGCTTCTAGGGACGGCGCTCTCCTGGGGTGTACCTGCGACCTTGCAGGGACAGATTGGAAGGCGATGGAGGGAGGAGAAGGGGAGGAGCCGGTGCAGGACGTGAGGAATGCAGTGACGGCGGGCGCAATGAGGGAGGCTGCTGAGAGGCGGGATATGGAGAGTCAAGTGCGTGCGCTGCGAGAGGAGGTGCAAGCAATGCAAGGGAGAGTGGCTCACCTCGAAGAGATGAGTGGTGAAGGGGAGAAGATATGGGAGGTAAGTGGATGGGTGGCAGTAGGTTCGTGTGTGCGTGAGAATGCAGATGTGAATGCATATCCGGATGTGAATGCATATCCGGATGTGAATGCATATCCGGATGTGAATGCATATCCGGATGTGAATGCATATCCGGATGTGAATGCATATCCGAATGTGAATGCTTATTCGAATGTGAATGCATATCCGAATGTGAATGTGAATACGAATGTTATGTGGTAAGTAGCACCGCATGCGGCACACATGTAAGAGCGTGCGCACTGATTGAAACTGTACAGAGTGTGGCATACCTCTTTCGATTGAGCCATTGTTGTCCACGTACGTTTCATTCACCCTTCACTCAACAGGTACTGGTCAGAGTGTGGAGCAGAGCTGTACCGCAAGACTCCTACCTTCCGCTCACCAGCATCTCCTTCATCACAGACTCCGTCCTCTCTCAGCTCGCTTCCTCGCACCACCTCACGGCCATCAGCCTCAAAGGCTCTACAGGCTTCACAGCAGCAGGAATTCAAGGGTTGCACTCGCTGCCACGCCTGTCCTGGCTGAGTCTGGAAGACACCCACACCATGGACGCTGCTCTCGGCAGCATCACCCGCCTCGCCACGCTCACCAACCTTGTTCTGAGCAACACCGACATCACCGATGCTGGGATAGCGCAGCTGCAGGGGTTGTCGGCCCTCCAGGCGCTGCGCATCTCTGGCTGTGCGTCGGTTACATCTGCTGGCATGGTGCACGTTGGGGCACTGACAGCTCTTGAGTGCCTCACACTGCATTCCAGTGGAGTGAGGGAGGAGGGATTGCAGCATCTGACTGGGCTCACAAGCCTGAAGCTCCTCACCTTGCCTCCAAGAGTGACTGATTCTGGCCTGAGGCACCTGAGGAACATGCAACAGCTGGAGAAGCTGGGGCTGTGGAATGCTGTCATCACTGCTGAGGGCGTCAGGTGGCTCAGGCGGCTCCATCGTTTGGAGGACGTTGCAGCGCCAGGCGTGGATGATGTGGTTCTAGGATGGATTAGGGGCATTCTCCCTAGAGTGAAGCTGGTTACAGTCCTAGGGTATTGGAATCAGCAGCATGCCTCCAGGAATTGAGCTGATGTAGTAGGCGTCATTGAGTGAAACACGAAACGATTCTTGAAAACAAAGTTATTTGACACTGAACACCTTACCCAGTACGTATCAAAGTTACCGAATGACTAGAATGATGGAATATAACCTAGTGGGTTGTACTCTCTAAGGCACAACCCGGTGTAGTCTATAACAACATACAAAGATACCGTAATCCCCTGTATATAATACCATATGGTGTATATAAAAATTCACTAAAAAAATGACTGGGTGTTAACAGTGGCTCAGAAAAATATAGTGTCCATGAGTTATGTCAAATGCAATTTGAATTTCAGTGATTCAGGCCATATGTGTTCACAAATGCGCAGAGTGACTGTTTGCGAGGTACAGCATCCGCTACGACCAAACTCACGAACGAGGCGTCGTTGGCCAATCCCTGCTTAGTGCTGTGGTCAGGGCCAGGTTCGTGCCGCACCTGCGAGTTAAGACTAGAAATAATGAATAGAAGAAGGGTGAACAGGGGAGATATAGCGTTTAGGTTATACTTATCAAAGAAGCTTAGGATAGGAACTAAACTTAGGAACCTAGCTTAGCTAGGAAGGACGCCATGGAATGGCGTGCGGAGAGTAGATCTAGGAGTAGGGAGGGAATGTCGAGAAAGAAGGGATCTGGACTAGGAAGAGAGAGAGGTACAAGGAGGGGTTTGTACCCTCTATAGTAAGGTTCGGTAACCTACCAAGCCTAACAATTATATAACTCAATATAGAATTTTAACAATACTGTCGTGGCACTGGGATAACCCTGTATGAGAATTTTGAAACAAATTACAAAATTTAAAGATTATGACAAGACTTATAGAGGAGTGTTGGGCTGAGAAAAGCCCTTGGGATCTTTCCAGAGACTACAGCGACGGAAAGTATTGCCCGGATAAAGTCCAATTTTAGGTTCAACACATGATTTGAATGCTTTCACCCGATGTATCGTTGAATGTTCATTGCTGACTAATAAGTTACGCGTGCCAGTTACAATAGGGTAACACGTTTGCAACCTGAATGGGTCGCACTAATAGCGTGGCCAAGATTTCAGTCGCGTGAGTGCATCCGGACAGTTTTGGCCAAGCAGCGGACTAGATCCGTTTTCGACTAGAGCATTCTCTCCATAGTTCCTAACGCAATCGTCGAGTAGTCAGAATAAAGTTTATACCCGAGGCGTAGACTACGCCAAGATGAGACCGATAGATGAGGCTCGTCGCTCCCGGATCGTGGCCCTGTTGCGTAGGGGGTTCAGCACGAGGCAAATCGCGAAACAGGTTGGCGTTGGGAAAAGTACAGTGCATGATGTTGGGCTCAAGGCGATTTCAGAGACTAGTCCCGAGGACGTACGTCCTACAATGCCCACTGCTGGTCGTCCACGCGTACTGTCGAGTAGAATTCGTCGTGGGATCGTCAGGGCGATCACTAGCGGCGAGGCGAAAACCTCGAGGCATGCGGCCCAAATCGTCGAATCCCAGCACGGCATCACGGTGCATCCTAGGACGGTGCGTAATGCGCTCAAATCCAGCGGCCTTATCGCAGTTCAGCAGCCTAAGAAGCCGCGACTCACCAAGAAAAATATCCGCGATAGGCTGGCGTTCGCACGGGCCCACGCGGATTGGACCATAGATGATTGGCGACGGGTCATATGGTCGGATGAGACGAGGATTAGTAGGTTCGGCTCTGACGGCCGCGCGTACGCCTGGGTTCGTGAAGGTACGACTCTCCAACACCACCATATCAAGCAAACCGTCAAACACGGGGGCGGCGGCTTGATGATCTGGGGATGTATGACGTTTGAGGGGGCGGGTTTCATGTGCAAAATCGATGGTCGGATGGACGGGCCGCTGTATCTGAGCATTTTGCAAGACGAGCTGAAAAAAACCATCGACTTTTACAAGCTAACCCCCTCGGCTGTGATCTTCCAGCATGATAACGACCCCAAGCATAAGTCCCGTGTGGTGCAGCAGTGGCTTCAGGAGCAGGAGTATGGGGTCCTGGAGTGGCCGGCAGGAAGTCCTGATCTGAACCCCATTGAGCATCTGTGGGCTCATCTTAAAAGGGAGCTGGGAAAGCATGAGACACCTCCCACTGGTATGGTGGACCTGTGGGAGCGTGTACAAGAGGAGTGGGAGAAGATCCCATCAGAGGTGTGCTCCAATTTGATCGACAGCATGCCCAGGAGGGTGAAAGCAGTGATTAGGGCTAAAGGGCGGTGGACCAGGTACTAGTTTAAGGGTTTTTCAAGTTGCTGCTTCCGCCTGGAAATAATTGTCCACATGCACCGTGTTTGGTTATGTTTGCTGTTTACTGTTAACGATAGTAGTTTCATCAAATGTGTAGCATTTTAATGTCTCCCTAGATTGGCCTGCATATAGTGGGTAATGCCTCCAATTAAGGCTTAATGTTCAAATGCCCTTTAACGGTGGAAATTCAAAAAATTGCCAAACATGTGGACAATTCTTTCCGTCAGTGTAAGTCCCAGTTGTAAAAGGAGACTTGAGTAGTGCAACGGAAGTTGAGTAGTTGAACCCTTGTACTGGTATATGAGAACAAGTGATTGATTAAAAGAACAAGCATACAGCAATATATAGAAAGTAGGAAAGTAAAGCAGTTGTAGAATACAGTTGAAGAGGGGTTATCGAGTCGCACAGAGACTCGATTGTCGCTTCGGTTACCATCCTTGCAGTTGTAACGGTCAGTCGCAACCTCCGGTTGCGACCCTTCGAGTCCTTTCGTGTTCTTTGTCCATCCCCCTCGTGTAACCTCCGTTGACTCTCATACCCGTTACGATCTTCCTCGAGTGTGGTGTTACACTTCAGAAACGCTTAAGTCCTTGAGGTATTTCCAACACTCCCCTTCGTTTCTGGAGTGCTGACGTGTTCAGATCCGGTGATGTTTGTCTGCCCGGTCAGCAGCATGCAGTAATTGAACTTTGCCTTCGCCGGTTTCTTCATCAGGTAGTCTGCGGCCATTTCTGTCGTAGGACAGTAACTGAGTTGAAGTCTCCCCTTCGCGATTTCATCCTTGACGAAGAAGTACCGCAGGGCAATGTGCTTGGTTCGATTGGCAAAGCCATCCTTGTTCGCGATTTGGATCGCAGATTGGTTGTCGCAGAGGAGTGAGAAGACGGGCAGGGTCGCAATCTTTGCTTCCTCGAGTAACTCTCGCAGGTAAAGTCCTTCCTTGGTCGCAGTGCAGAGGGCGATATATTCTGCTTCAGCCGAAGATAGTGCGATTAGTTCCTGTTTGCTCGACTACCAGGAGATAGTCCCGATAGGCTCTAGTCGGTAGATGTAGCCCGTTCTTGAGCGTCGATTTTCCCTGTCTCCCGCGTGGTCGGCGTCGATGTATCCGAGTAGTTGTACGGACGATGTTGTTTCTTTACTATAGGTAAGTCCGGTCGTCGGCGTAGAGACGAAGTAGTATAGTGCCCGATTTAATTCCTCGAGATCTTCTTGTTCCGGCTTCTTCAGATGCGTCGCCAGTTGGCTCGCGCTGTAGGATAGGTCAGGTCGGCAGGTTACTGCTGCGAATAGTAGGCATCCAAGCTTCTGCTGATACTCCTGGATTTTCTTCGCGGGGAGTTTTGTGGAGGTGTCGTTGTTGTTCCCGTAGCGGTAGGGAGTCGTGACTGTAGTCGGTGTTAGTCCGAATTTCTTCGCGACAACGCCTGCGTACTTTCCAGCATATAGGTAGAACGCCGAGTTGTCTTGGACGACGTTCAGACCCAGGTACTGGGTCACGGTGTCAGACACCGTGAGTGTCAAGTCCCTTTTCAGCTCCCCTTCGAACCAGGTGGCGATGTCGGTGGTGGAGCCGATGTAAAGCAGGTCGTCGACGTAGACGATGAGTAGGATATATTCCCTTTCCTTCTGTAGTCGGTACATGCCTTGGTCGTGCGGCAGCTGTAGGAATCTGATTCTGACAAGGCGACCGTGAAGATGCTGCTGCCAAAGCCGCGGGGCTTGCTTGATCCCGTAAAGGGATTTTGTCAGCTGACATACTTTTGTGGGGTCGTCGATGAATCCGTGGGGCTGCTCGACGAAGATCTTGGCATCCACAGGTGCGTACAGGAAGGCATTTGCGACATCGATCTGGCGCAGTGGTAGTTTCTTCGTGGCCGCGACGGCGAGTAGAATGGGTAAGGAGGTGTGACGGGAGACTGGGGCGAATGTTTCTGTGTAGTCGGTTCCGTATCGTTGATCGAATCCTCGTACGACCCAGCGAGCCTTGAATCGTTCGATGGAGCCATCCGCATTGGTCTTGATGCGGTACACCCACTTTCCCGAGAGAACGTTCTTCCCGTTGATGTTTGTTGCAGGTACCAGCTTCCATGTATTTCGGTCTTGCAGAGCTTTCAGTTCCTTTTCCATTGCCTCCTTCCATTTCGCCTTGTGTTCCCCCCCCAGAGCCTGCGACAGAGTCGTTGGCTCATGCGGAGATGGCGGCGGCGGATGCTGGACGGAGACCCATAAGCCGAGTATGTGCAGTCCAGTGGGTGTGTGTCGAGGGGAATTTTCATTCCCTGAATAGGCTGCTTCGTCACCATCTTCTGGATCGGGTAAGAAGTTTGGGCCGATGCGTTTTGAGACATTTGTGTCGACCGGGTGAGGTGTAACGTAACCTTGGTCAGCAAAGTGGTAAAGGGTGTCGAGGTTGTTGCTATCGAGGGGATTGTCTTCGTCGAGTGGAACAGGCACGGAACAGTAAGGGAGTGGTCTGGCAGCTTCCGAAGCTCCAGGTACGTCTTCTTCTGCTGCGTCAGCCTCGGCTGCACGGTCGGTGAAGGAGCGAAGGCCCACGAAGCCGTCGGTGGGGTCATCTGTGTTGGCGACGTTGTCCAGGTAATGCTGCAGTGTCAGTCGTTCGTAGAAGATCACATCACGTGATGCCACGGTGTTTTTGTCTTGTATGTTGAGGAGTTTCCATGCTAAAAAATGTTTGGCGATGCCGAGGTGTATAGTCCCCACCTTGCTCGTTGAGTGAAACGTCCTCCTCGGGCTGTGTGGGGTTTGTACTGTACCAT